TAACTTTGAATTCTAAATAAAATTCATATCGCTATTTTAATCGAGAGTTTTCGTAGGAAAATCTCTAATTTTTCTACGATGTAATTAACTACGAGGGCTTGCGCTCGTAGGAGATTTAGTAACTCAGATTTAATTTTTCAAAATTAAAATTGATATCTTTTAAAACTTCAATTAATTATCTTTGGGAAATTCAATATTCCCAAAAATAATTAAATATTTTCAAAACTATATATATTTAAATACAATATATTTTTTTAATCAAAACAATAACTCTTGTAGCAATCAATTCTTCCAACAACTATGCTCTGATACCAATTGTGATGCCCCAGAATCTAAATGGGAAGAATTATTTTTTTATCCTTTAAATAAATAATATCCAGAGCTATCTAATATCATCTATCAAAAATAAACAACAAAGCTGATTCCAAAATTTAAAAAATTAATATACACATCTATATTCATTCACAAAAACTATATACACTACTCAGGATTATAAAAAAATGAAATATAACTTGAAGAATCCTGACCAGCCTCATACTTTTGCTCCCCTATCCAAATTTGAAATCATTTAACCATATATAATGAGCTTAAAAGCCCAATAAGTCACTAAAACCTATAACTGAATTCAAAGTATGGTAAAAAAATAATATGCATATCTGCAGTCAAATTATAGTAGTTGCATCCATATGATCATTGAATCAAAATAGAAAAATAATAAAATTCATATGCAGTAGTAGTCAACTCTATAGTCAGTAAAACATTATAATATGAAAGCCAATAAAGCAGTAAAGTAGTATGAGTGTAAATCTATAAAGCAATTGTCGTAGTTATATTAATTAGTACAAAAATTATATAAATTATCAAATCAAAATATCAGTAAAGATTATTAAAATTAAATTAATGCAATAAAATCAAATATTAATACACACATGCTATTTAGTTATTCTATATCAACATTAAATCAATATCTCAATCTGAAGCTGAATATCTTAATCGTATGCTCAATAAATTCTATATATTATGTGCTCAGTATATTAAATGCTCAGTACCAATACAGTGAATCAATAATATCAAATAGTATCAATATTTATATCAGTAACAGTAACAATCTAGTGGCAAGAGTAGTAGAATAATATAATAAGAGTAAATTCTTGAAGTAATAATAAATTCATATAAAAATAAGAATAATGTCTAAAAAATTTGTATTTAAGTAATCACATTAAATAAGTAAGAAGTCCTAACAATCTCGATGTTTTTCAGTATTATTATCAGTGTTAGTAAACTGTTGGCTCAGTAAATAGAGTCATCATCTTTTGTCCGTCGGCACAGTAATAATATCCTTATAATTCTCAATTAGTGTATCACGTGAATTAATCAAGGATAATACCAAACCAAAGTATTTGAAGGAAAGTCTATCATCCCACCATCCTGTACAAGCCAATCAATATCCAACCAACGAGTCAACTAGTATTTACTTGCTTGTTCCACACAAATATATTATTATCACAATACTATAATAATAATAACGACCAGCTATTACTCAAGCACGTAACCATATCCATTTTTAATGCATTACTATAAATAATATATAATTAAACTTAATTAAGAAGATACTAAAATGACATGATGGTAGATAACAAAGAATCCTATTAGGCAAAAATACACATTTTCAAAAAATTATCAAATTACTAGGAATTATGTAAAATGATATTTTAAGACTTTTATTATACTACACTACTATTTTTAGATATCAAAATAAATTTTGAGATAAACTAAAATTACTACATTTTCAAAATCACCTAGTAAAATATTTTAAATAAATACTCAAAATGCTCATAATCATGATCTCTATAATATACAAAAAGTTATGTAGTGAATGTTTTGTCAATACAAAGTTATTCATGTTTTTCGGTAATGAAAACACAAATTTGAGAGAAAAAAATATCAAAAATATAAAATCTTTGAAATCAAAAGTAGGATATGGATTCCTTACAATAAGATGAGCAAATCTTTCAGCTGGCCAGACGGACGAAAGTTGCACTGCGGCCTCCAAATTTGAGTTTTCTTTCTCTCTCCCCTTATTTCTCTCTCATTTTCTTATTCCGTATCTCTATTGCTGAAGTAATGAGGAGAAAAAGGGATTTCATAAAACCCTAGTGATTTAATATATTTTTGAAAAAAATATAATATAATTATTTAACATAAAAATAAAATTTTATTTGTTTCTTTAATATAAAATAAAAAAAATCATTTTGGGACTAAAAAAATTATAGAAAAATATTCATAATATATAAAAAATATTGGTTAAATCAGTTTGTAAAACGGACACTAGACGATCCCGAAATCCTCACTTGTACCGGCATGTACAAATTCCTTAAGGATTTTCAACAGAGTCCAAAAATTACGAAAAAATTCATATAAGTAAAATACTTTGAACAAAATACTATAGCAAATACGGATTGGGAATTAGAGTTGTGATGACTCCTGAAAAAATTGGCAAAGTCAAAATACATGCTATTACAACAGGTGTCATCATCAACACCAATACACGCTAACTCATTTCTCGTCATCACCATCAAAATTAACACATTCCATTGCATATAAGCTGATGCATGCCTTTAACACCAACCCTAATGATAGTTAACTTTATTGCATGTTGTTATTATTAATGTTGACACATATCGATGCCTATAAGATCAATGCACACCATCGACACCAAATCCTAAACTCGTTGACTTTTTTGCTTTCCTTTGTCAGTAACATTACTACATGATATTATCTATAAAGACAATGCTTGCTTTCAACACTAATATTGGTGCTCACTAACTTTTTCGCCGATGTCGCCACCAATATTGATGCACGCAATTGTCTAAAAAGAAGATAAATGTCATCAACACCAACTCTGTCTCCATTATAAAAATTGATATTTAAACTAATCTTTATAATATTTAATATTATTTTCTAGAAAGAGAATTATCAAGCATATCATGAATGATCTCCCGAGGGAAATTCAGTGCTTCAACACTATTTATATAAATTTTCAACATAAAGTTTATTTTCTATTTTTTATGACTACTACGTTATATCAGTGTATTCCCCAAATATAGGAAAGTTTATCATCGACAACATACACTAATATAATTATTCAATTTGATGAGACTCTATGGTTTTTCTCTTTTACGTAAAAAATATGGGTGTCTCTAACAACTCTTTTTGCTAATACAAAGACTTAAAATATATAGCAGTGAATACAAAAAAAAATTCTCCAAAAAGCTCAAACTATTGAAATAAGACATTAATTTAGAGAAATATTAAAACAAAAATGGAAATAATAAACGTGAACTTAGTAGCTAATAAATTCCCCATTCTAAAAAATAACTTCATCATGAGCATCTCCAATCATAAATGTGAACTCCTGCCTGTGGCCTTCCAAGGATTTGTGAACCTCACTAGCAACCACAATAGCTCATGTGATCCAGCTCTCTCTTCGTCAGTCCCTCGACTACCAATCACTTGTTCAACCCTAAATCCTTGCTTGATTAACCTGAAAAGAAAAGAAATATAAGCTTATATTTACTAATAAGTATATTATAATTTTATAAGAATATAATATATTAAAAAATTTATACTTGCTTCAAACACCTTGAGGCATAAACCTCTACGCGTGCTGAGGTAAGAAAAAGTTGCAAGCAAAGAAATGTTAAGCCTCACAGCCCCACAGACCACGGCAGATTTTTGAAATCTGTTGTTAGGAGATGCCTGCAGCCATCAAAAATATCTGCAGCCATCACACAACTGCATTCAGTTGGACCTCCCACGCCAGCATCAGTTCACATCATAGTTGGTTTAGCAGTAAAAAAGTAGTATCAGATAACAGAAATATCAGCCAATAATTTCGAGAAGTTTAAGAATACAAACAAACTTTACTTTTTCCATTTTACCTCTGACTGGTAGTTTATCGCTAAAACAACTTCAGTTACCCCTACCTCCTTCAGAGCTTCAATCTGGAGATAGCCAAATTTGTTGAGTAGTCAAAGGAAAAGTGTGTATACGCCTTTCTGCAGGAGTTGAATGATGCTGTTAAAGCCAAATTTGTTGAGGAGCCTCCTGAAGCTCTGATAGAAAGAAATCCTTCGTTCTTTTCTCCGTTTACTCTAGTAATAGTGACTCAAGTATGCTGTGTAGTTTCTTCCATTGTCTTCTTGTTGAATTTGAATTTTTTTTTTTAAGATTTCTGTTTCTTTTTTATTTCTTAATTGATTTTATTCATTTTAGTACGGCTGCACGCCATGTCCTATTTTTCATGGCCTTGCATGCTAGCAATCCTTACACCCCTTTTGTAATCCATCTTGGCTGGTACTATTTAATGATCAATATTTTAAAAAGCAAAAGTGTGAAAGCCGTGAAGCAAAGTGTATGATCCCTTCCAAGCGCAAAGCATAAGCTTTAACCAGGAAATTTTTAAATAAAAAAAAAATATAGTTCTTGAAGGAATGATAAAGCATGAGATTCTTATAATAAGCTATATCATTAGATTAAATTATATAAACTACAGTTCAATTGAAGCAACAAAAAATATCAAAACGAAGACGCAAATTGCCGTAATTCTAGATTGTGATCTTCACAGAATAGGAAATATTAAACGAATGAAAGGGTAAACTGAATGGAAAATTCGAGTGCAAATAGTGCAAATTCAAATTAAGTTTTGCAGAGATATATGAAATGAATTATAGCAATACCTGATGCAGGTTCATGGGTTTGTTGGCAAAATCCACTAATTGTTTTGGAACACTGAGGGTCAATGGCCGCAAGCGAGTGCCAAATCCACTGACGATAATTAGTTCCTTCATAGTGAAAGATCCTTCCTTTTATATTCCCCTGAATATAAAGAACAATATCAACCGAAGGAATCAAAGAAAGTTCTTAGCTTCAACAGCCGAATCTGAATATTTCCAACAACAAGCCAAGAAAACCATCAAAATTTCAAACAATCTCGGAACAACAAAGGCCAAATGGTGTGAGACCTTCTAAAGAAAAATGCGCAAATGAGTTCAAAATAAAGAAAATAAATTAAAGCACGTAGCCCCATTCAAAATGCCAACGCATGTAGAAACGAGCTGAGCAAGTCGAAAACACCAGCATCGGTACACACAATGCCAAATAAAGCAATATCCATTAACCTAAGATCGTTAACGATAACTTTTAGCTTATGTACTTCAAGCATTTGTCATCTTCCCTTCTCCAAAAAAAAAATATTCCTTAACAAACAATTTTATTAATCACCAAGCTTACATATATTCAACATATATGGCATTCTATATGATACTACATGAGATATCAAGAAATGCATAATTCATAATTTAAATTAATAAATAACTCTATTCAAATAAATTAAAAAAAAAAATAATCTCCATTACCAATCAATCCAATATTATTTTGTTAAAGCCTTAATGTAAACAAATAAAAGTCAAAATATGTATAATTACAAGAAAAGTAGCCAAATCAAGCAGGAATCATGACAATACACACACAAGATCTAGAAATAACTCAAATGGTTAATGACAAGTGCAAAAAAAGAAAAACCAGAGCACTTACATCATCAAGCAACCAGAACTCTTCTTCTTATTAAAAATCTCCCTTTTCCTTGGAGGTTGGAGAACACCTTTGATTGCAGTATCAAAAATAAATTTGACATTCTAACAAAACCAACATTATGACAAGAAATCAGCACAGAAATCATACACCTCAAACAATACAAAATTTACATTTGCACACCAATTAGCAAATTATGTTATTTGGTATTGAAGCAGGAAATTCCATCAACATTTTTGACATTCTAACAAAACCAACATTATGACAAGAAATCAGCACAGAAATCATACACCTCAAACAATACAAAATTTACATTTGCACACCAATTAGCAAATTATGTTATTTGGTATTGAAGCAGGAAATTCCATCAACATTCTTGCTCTACTTTCGCAGCGCTTCAGAACCAAATTTTATGATAAAGGGGTTAAGATTGAACCAGGCACTAAAATTAAAAAAAATGGAAAACAAGAAAATTATTCATTGGCCGTCAATGGTGAAACAAGTGGAAAATGAACCTTAATCAATGGCCGACAATCAGATTACTTTTCATTTGATTCATTCTTCAATCACTGGAGAACAAGAAAGCATAATAATTATTGTCTGTAGAAAGATTACAGTAACAAAGGGGAAAATGATGGCTCTTTTTTTTTTTTTTCTTACCAGCAAAGGAACATATAGGGATCTGATGAGGATCGACAATAATAATAAAGTTTTTCCGATTATAAAATTGTAGCAGCAAGGAAATGTGGTTGAGTTCATATATGCATTATATTGGCTATGATTGCAGTAACAAGGATCGACAATCAGAAGCCTCAGAAATGCTTAACAACACTCTGTTGACCTCTATTTTCGCTCGGGCACTTTTGATCGACTTGATTAGATCTCGTCGAGCCCAACCTGAGCTCGAATTAGCCCGAGTCATTTTTGTTTACCACGACGAGCTCGATTTCAATTTGAGTTCAATTTGGTTTGATCAAATCGATCGAACTTAGCCCGATGCTAATCGAGCCAATTTGAACCAAATCCATATCCAAACCTAACTCAAATCAACCCAAATCAATCCGACTCGAGCCAAGTTAGATTTGATTTGAACTCTTGTTTAACCCAAGCCAGCTCAATTTAATCCCAATTTAAATCCAAACAGCTTTCAAGGTAATTTGAATTTCCACCCAAATCAAGAGTCGGTTCGATGGCTCTGATTCATTCCAAGGCCCGATCCTGCCATTTCAGTGTCCTCAGTCGCGTGATACACTTGTTTTGGGGGAAGGCAGTGGTTGAAGAGCGAGGAGCAGTATCGCAGAGCACGGTTCAATGTTTTGAGGCAGGATCGAGAGGA